GTTCAGAAAAGTATTCAATTTTTACATTAAATTTGTAAACTGTAATATGAAACTATACTTCATATCTCATTACAAAGAGGGTTAAATTGCTATAAGATCGAAAGTAAAATGTGGAAACTGAAATAAGTGCTAATTTCTGCTCCATATAATTGAAATTTAATTAAGTAATCATATTTATCAGTAGGCTACTAACTTCAACTCCGATCCAAGCCAGATTTATAAAATCGAAAAATAGTATTTTTCTCTAATAATGGACGAGAGCTACAAAAATACTTTTCCTTTCATTACATGTTCAAAATATATTTAAAACTGAGTAAAAAGTAAAAGTATTCCCTAAAAAGTGAAAAGCACTGCTTCCGTACAATCTACAGACAGCAAATTTTATACTATCAACAGCTAGCAACCCCAATCGATCATCAACCAACCAGAGCGCAACCAACAAAAAGTATATTAACATCAAAACAACACATTTATTGTAATAGAAATGAATACGCACGACGCATGCCGATGCAATAGTTCTAACCTCGCCTACGTTAATTGATAGCGCGTGTTGCAGGATCTAATATATAAAAAGTGCATATACTTGTACATATGCTTGTGCACTCATCGTTTTTGTCTTTAAGTTTCATTGTGTCAGTGCTTCACGTCCCTCTCTCCTATACGTTTTCTTTATGCACCTTTACACACGATGACTTTTGTTGCCCAACCTACTCGTAGTTTGTTGGCGAGGAGGTGAAGACGGTTCCTTTTCATTTTGAAATTCTTAATGGTTTCAATTGCGCTAGGTTTCAAATGAATATTTACGCTATGTTCAGAAATTTAAATTTTATTCTATTTTTTGTGTGTAATATGCATTTATATGCAAAAAAGTGTGAATAAGGATACAAATTAGCTAATAAAAAATACTTTTGTGTACTGTACAAGAATTTCAGAATATTATATAAAAGGGAATGCAGGAAATCGCCCGACTCGCGTTGTTGAACTAGCGTCGCCCATGTAAACACACAGCGAAACACTAAAAGAGAATTTCCCGTTAATGAGCATCAAGAGTTTCCGTTTGTGAACCCTGACTTATTTGTATCAAATCGTTTAAGAGATACAATCAGCTACATTCACCAGAAATAAAAGTTAGTTATAAATTGTTATGAATTCAAATCTTTCTATGTTCGCTAAAATTGATCTAAATTACTTAAATAATTTTGAGCCCGCCGTGACTTTTTGTAGTATCGCCAAAATGAATTATCCCGTTGCAAAATGCAAATTGCAACGCCAAGGGCATGACATTGTACTCTCATGGAGTATTGTTGGGCAGCCTAATGAAGGACACCCGTGCAGAGATTGTATTTTTCATAAAGCAAATAGTTCGTAATGTTTTCCAACATGTGAACCTTTATCTCACATTGTGACTATTTCTCTTGGCAGTATGACACGGTTTTGCAAATTTTATTTTGAATAATTTCACTTCAAAACTGCATGTTTCTTGAACAATGTCAGATGAACAAAAGGCTAGTGATGATTTAAAGTCCATTCCACCAATTGTCTGTACCCTAAATTTTATGTAATGTTACGTAAAAGTCGAAGCATAACAAATTTTATGACAAATTTATTCTTCGAATCGCAGTTTAGCATGAACTAATATTTCGATCAAAAAAGGCACATCGTAAAGAGGAGAAGTTATACAGAAAATGTAAATTTTTCTTTCTATAAGACACCATTAGCATTTCTACAATTTTCCATTGATTTAATATTAGAATATAAAAACATACAATATGGAGGTGTGAATATATATCGTACAGAACTTTTCTGGAGGTCTAAGTTAAAATTATATTATTCATATTATTCTTAAAGAAAGTCATTGTGTTATGTTATATCTCAGAATATACCTATTTTTTTCAGAATATCAGAAAAAGTTTTACTCTCTACAACAACTTTATTGTTCATTTAATTCCAATTATTGACTGTAGCTTGAAACTTTCCGTGGTGATAACGAGCAATTGTGTTTTTGCTTCAAACTGATAAGCAATGATCCATTTTTATTTAATTGCCGAAATATTTCAAATATTTACTTTCCCCTTTCAAATGTTCTCTATTTGACAAATTTATTTCTAAATTATCACTCATGTTTGTAAATAAATAAACGCTTTTAAATCAAATTTATGAAATATGAACGTTATATACGAACCCATCTATGTACATACTTATACGCATATATACATTTTGTATCCTCTTAAAAATTTTTTTGCAAAATTTGAATATTGTAATCTAATTTTGTTACTGTCACGCTATAATGGTAGTTAACAAATACAATATATGTAAAATATAAAGTCTCGCTAAAGTTTTCACTGCGATGGGACGTGAAGTCACAGCTACTTAGATATATACAAGTACTAATAAATTGAAGTTTCTAAAGTTAGCATTAGCCATCAAAGATTCGACATGATTTACAATTTGGAAGCAGTTAATGTAATACAACCGGTCATTTGTTGTAGATTTATTTCTATACTATTAGATAACGCTATATTTCAATGACCAAACATTCTGGAAAATATATTTTAAAACTAATAAATAATAAAAATTGCCTAATTATTAATTTTTGTTTATTGTTTGAGTTTATGCGATAAGCCTGATAGTTCATATTTGGAAAACTAACCTAAGACAACACGCACAATAAAAATAAATAAATGTCAAAATATGCGACCGTCGTAACCGAGTGAGTTAGTGAGTGAATATAATCCGGTCAACCATATGTTCAGAAAGTACGGCTTCAAGTATAAGTATGTCTACCACGCCGCTTAAAAACAATATATGTACTTATAGAAAGCCATCGCAATTCGTAACAAAGACGTAGAAATATTTGCAGGTGTTTGCAAAACTTTATAGCAAACAAATTTGCAAATGAATGCCATCAGTTTCTCGATTTTGCACATGCTCCTCAAAGTGCCAAAGAATTTGTGTATTAACTTTCTCAATTTTTAATCAAGTTACAAACGGACCAACATTCGGAACTCAATTCTTCTCATCATACTGATCATTTAAATATAGAAAGTATTGTCATGGCAAATCTTCTGGTTTTGGTAACGCTACGATCTTCCAATTATAGAATTTTTCGCTATAATTAAGAAAATAAAACTCACTTAAAAGTTTTTGGGTGAAAGTTTATTTAATCTGAACAAGCTTAAGTTTTGGTAAAGACATTACTCTATTGAACCCTTATGTAGCCCTAATATATATTTTTGTAAAATTTTATTGTTAAAATTCTAAAACTGTACATAGACCTTCTTTTGACTATTTTACTATATCGAGTTTGTATATTTTAAGGTACTGAAGAAAATGGGTGGAAAAGCAGCATATCCAAGGTTGCCTATGAACAATTACCTCCATAAGTTTCTCAAGGCTCGTTGGACTTTACGGACCAGTATTTTCTTTCAGTTAAAAATTATTTCATATAATATAAATTGTATAATAAGAGTAGTAGTAAACAATATAAAAATATAGAGAGAGCAATACAAGAGAGAATAAGATGTGATAAAACAAATGAATAGAGAGAAGCAATGCGATAAGTTAATAAAAAAATTCATTTTTAAGAATGAAAGAGCGTAAATTCCGAAGTATGACCCCATCTTTTGCGCGAAAACTTTAATACAAGGATGTATGTAATAATATTGAGGGATGCATGGAATTGGAAGCACAAAAGTCACGATAAAATGACACAATAAAGTATATAATACACATATACTCTAGAGCATGAGCAAAGAATTATTCCCCTGTTAGGTGTATACATAAATATATGCATTTCTAAAGGTAAATAAGATTTCTATATACATGCATATGCACTCGTTTCTTTAGTGATTATGCTCGTATTGGATAACCTAGTAAGTGTTGGTGAAGTGTTAAAGGAGGAGCCCCTTATACATATACTATTAAGGGGGTTGGTTTTGCGCAAAGAGTGAATGAGTACATTTGGGAAGTACACAAACTTCGCTCAAAACTGTTGAAATACGATCTATTCTGATGAAGGAGAATTCTCATAAGACTGGAAGAGAGTATATGTGAATTACTTGTATCTATATAATGAGGTAATTTTTGAGTTATTAAACAAATACTTTGATGGAGTGTCTATACACTTGAATTATTTTAATAACGAAATTGGAATCAGTACTTTTTTCGTTATAATTAATATGCAAAAGTATATTTTTATATATCAAATAAAAATTTATATAAAATTAGTGCAAGTTAACTGTAGAGTATACACAAATTTAAGTACTGTGTATAAGTTTATAATTAATGTTTTATGATATTACAACTTGTATGAATTACGGTTATACCTTCTACTACAAATTACAAGAACTAGACTACAATTTATTTAGACTGAAAACTCGAAATACATTAAATTTATTTTTGAAAAGTGTATCTCGAAAATTTGGGTTAAGTGAAAATATATTTTACATATGAAAATATATTTTTCTCAATATCTTCCGCGTGGGTTATATTGTCTGCGACATATGTACCTTCAGGTAAGAAATAGCGTAAATCGTAAGCTAAGAGATAATTGTTTTGAATAGTTATTAGAGCAAAAAAAGGTACTGGACAACACAACGCCCATTAAAACGCCAATGCACGTCAACAACACAAAGAAAAGGTTGCACTCACTTGGTGATCTGCATTTTTTAAAAGATCAAGGACGCAACTTATAGCAGGCATCGTACTATACATAATATTACAGAGGTAAAAAGTTATACTTTCAAGGACTACTGATGACATTATTATTATATCAGAGTGGGAAAATGTTTTGAGTGCCTTAAGCAAAGCAACCTTACTAATGTCACTAAATAGCTTAGTTAGTTTAGAATATTTATGAGTGAGTAGAGATAATGAGTATATTTGTTGAGCGAACGAAATCTACCTGTCTTGTTGTAGGCTTTCTTTTCTGTTATAAATGTATTGCTTTATATATTCCGTAGAAAATATACTAGATTATGTTAAGTAATAAGGTAAATAGGAAAAACCTTTACTTTGTATTTGTTCGGTCTTTGCCAACTCGAGAAAGTTTTGCTCAATATTTGAGTAAATTATTCGTCGCAATTTTGATTCCTGTTGCTGTCATTGAATCTCTCAGTTAATGCGTCAATGTATACGTGAAAATCAACCCTCCTTGTGAGTGGTTGTTTCCTTGTTGAATTGTTTCCATTGCACTCTATTAAAATTTGTTGCCTTTTCACTAAATGCTTGTGACTGCTGTTTGGTTACTTAAAGCTGGGCTACGCAACAGAATCATATCAGTTGTGATTTGGCTCTGGTAGTGAGTGGAGGTGATGCTCACATTTTTTTATAAAATAGTCTTTGACGAATTTTTCTACATAAGAACATTTGCTGAACTAACTTATTAGCCATCAATTACATATAAAGCCCATACAGTGTTCTATATTATCAAAAAGTTGTACAGATAAAAATCTCACTACAAAGTGACAAATATTAAATGCTGCAAAGACAAATGTGCTATTTTCGACATACCACATATCGCTGCCTCGATGTGACATTACGCAAACCATAACACTTCGTTAAGAGAACTCGTCCGGTATGCACCTCTAGTGGACCGAAAGGAATATCGAACAAAAAATTTAAATATCCCAGGAAAATTATTGAAGTATAACTTAAAAAATACCTCATTATATTAAACAAATAAAATAATGTACTAGTTTAATAGTAACTAGAAACTACCTCATCTACGATAATTTATGTGAACTATATTAACAAAAAAAGAAAATGAGTGAAATCTGACTAAGAGACAAAATATATTAATTCACGTACAAAACTACCTCTAAGTACAAAAAGTGCTCATCAGAATATAATCAACAAGTTAACATAGCAACCTCAAAATATTAATTATTCGGCAAAGAAGAGACAAGTGTTTTATTAAGTTCAAGTGCGGAAATTAAACAAATATAATTCAGCAATTGCTGGGTTAGTAACACCTATTCAAAGTTAATCGCTAGTAGACATAATGGCAATATCGATGTTTCAGGACGCTCAGACACGAGGTAAGTATCTCACAAAAAATGTTTATTTCTAATTGTGTTTTAAAATCATCACAAAAAAGTATATAACAAATATAAAACTAACAAGTTTATCTATCTACTCTGTTTAAAATTAAGATGTCCTTATATACGATGCATTATTGGTAAACCCATTAGTTGCAGTAACACATATTAATCTTCAGTATTAACCCATTCGAGTTGCACACACAGTTTTACATCATCTGGCAACTACCCTTTCAATACGCGTAAAAAGCGAACATTTCCATTGTCACAAGCAATAATAATGGCGCTATACGTACCACCCCTTACGCCCACTCCCCACATCTTAAGCAAATAGTTTAGATTACCAATGAAAGATGTCAAGCAAACCGGCGAATAATTACCTGCAGTTACGATATTGCAATGCCCATATCCATTTTTTGAATTACTGATGTTGTCATTGTCATCTTTGTCATAATTATTATATTCATCAGACGCAGATATTTACAACAACAATCCACACTCTTTTTTTTAATATATACATAGTTTGTTGATATTCATTGTAAAGCCGGCGTTTAACTCGTTCTCACGCCCACAATATAAATGACTAAAATGAGCATAACTGAAACACATTCATATGTATGCAGAAAAGAGCACGCAGACTGCTTTCGCTTACTGGCTCATATACATACATACATATACGTACATTTACCTCACCCATCACCCTTTTAATGTTTAAGAGCCTTGTGCTTTATTTGAGTGGAGAGTATTTCTCACATATGAGACCACATATCCTTAAATATAACGTTTACTGTTATATACTGTTCGCACATTTTCTCTTGTATATTCGTATTCTCTTCAATTCACCTAGAAACATACTCGCTTGCCAGGCTTTATTTACGTATTTCTTTTTATGGGGCTAACACATTCCCATTAGATTGACACACACATGCATATATGAAATTTTTACACGCGTCTGTTAAATGTTTCACAATCGAGGTTAAGTCCTAATATTCCCTATAATATTGTTCTATATTTCTCTTTGTACTGTTTAGGGTTTACATTGTTGTTTGCATTTCAGTGGCACGTGTCGTTTTTGCAATTTCCCGCCCGGAAATGGGCAGTACTTTTTACCTTTAGGTATTTGAATAGGAATGTGGCCCATGTTTAGTTTAGCACTAAGTTTAAGCAGCTACATTTTACTTACTTTGAACTAATCAATTTTTTTTCCTCTTTCTTTTAGGCTTAGCAGCGGCACTAGCTAGTATCAAGCGCGAAGAAGTAGATGTGCATAATGCTCTGTCCATGTCGCCGCCAATGTCCGCAAATACATCTGCCAACAATTTGTATCCCGGACTCCAGCACGCCGCCACTGCAACAGCTTTCGGAATATTATCGCCTTCACAACTGTTAGCTGCAAATCGCCAAGCTGCTGCCGCACTTATGGCATCTCAACTGTTTCCTCAACATCCTGCAATATTTGGACAAATGTGGTCCAATGCGGTTCCTCATATTCCATTAAACGCCGGCCAACATTCGCCACCAACAAGTCCACACTCGCCAGTTACAGCGACGACTCCCTCAAATGGCGGTAAACACAGCCAAAGTATATCACCTCCATGCTCTGCACAAAGTGAACTATCTACAAAAAAAACACGCAAAATCGCGGTCAAGAAAGATTTGATTTCTCCTCCAATGGAAATGTCAATGAATGTTAGCGATTTGTATAGTCCTGCCGGTCCAATCTCACCACCATCATCTGGCTCTTCTCCGAACTCAGCACATGACCCCAATAACCGTGCCGATGCTACCATCGCTATCTCTGCCACAAAAGATACCTCCCGTGATAAGAGCTTTACATGTAAAATCTGTTCACGCTCCTTTGGATACAAGCATGTCTTGCAAAATCACGAGCGTACTCATACAGGTGAAAAGCCTTTCGAATGCCCTGAATGTCATAAGCGATTCACCCGTGATCACCATCTAAAGACTCACATGCGCCTGCACACGGGTGAGAAACCCTACCATTGTTCACACTGTGATCGCCAGTTTGTTCAAGTGGCAAATCTCCGTCGTCATCTGCGTGTTCACACCGGCGAGCGGCCTTATGCTTGCGAAATTTGCGACGGAAAATTTAGTGACTCAAACCAGCTTAAATCGCATATGTTGATACATAACGGCGAGAAGCCATTCGAGTGCCATGAATGTCGCATGAAATTCCGTAGACGCCATCACTTGTTGAATCATAAATGTGGCCAGACGACAATTTCCAGCTTACAGTCGCCGCCAACTTCCCCAGATGCAGCACTAAGCCCCGGTGGCCTCAGTGGTGATTATGGGCTATGTGACCAGAAGTCTGTTATGGGATCTAGCTACGGTTCGGAAGAGTCTATGGAAGTCGGACGTCCCGCCAACATCTCGGTCTCATCTTATGAACTTATGGAACATCATCACAACAGTCAACTCCATACCACTTCATCGTCCGTTGGTACTTCGTTAAGTATAGCCGAATCTTACGTCGACGATGAAGATGATGAGGAAACTCCCCTCGATCTCTCCGAAAATGACATGAGCATTGATGTTGGACGAAATTGTACCAAGGGATCTCAAGACCTTTACCACATTTTTCGCTTGCCAAATCAAATCATGCAAATGCATAGTGAAATTCCCGAGCAAACTGAGCCTGAAGACCTGAGTATGCATCGAAACAACAATTCTTCTTCGATAACTTCTGCAGCCACCGATACCCCCTCATCTGAAACTATGACAATGTTGAATGACGATACTGATTTTGATGACCTGGATAATACCACCATGCACTATATGCGACAACATCATTTTTCCAATATAAAACAAACCACCCTAATGGAGTAGGAAGAGGTGATGTCAAGGCAGAAAGAGCAGAAACCATTTCTTTCAATATTGCGGACAATGGGTGGAAATCCATTTTTACAGCTTCCAGCACTACTACGCTCCCTGACGGCAATGATGGGATATAACGGTGACCACCAGGCACATACTAACTATAGTTGAGAAGTAAAATAAATCACACCTTGATACAAAGTACTCACCAAAATGTTTAGTACTGAAGTAAACGTGAGCAGAGTTGACTTTGTTTTCGTTAGTTAGTACAACTAGGGTTAATATAGTATACAAAGGAATCTATATAATAAGGACAAAAATATTTGATTTGTAAATATGAATGTGTAGTTAATTGTTAAAGCGAGCTTGATGAATTAAGTGACGCCTCTTGCGCTCAGTTGTCGTCCCGATCTTCCCTTTTAAACCTATATTGTTAAAAAACAGCAAAATAAATTAGAATATACGAGTATGGCTAAACTTTATAAGCCGACCTGAAGATGATTATTTATTTGTTAATCAAGCTGATTATATTAAAAAGATTGTAAATATATATGTAAATTACGAAATTCTGCAGGTAGTACAATAAGTATGTTGGCTTATTTATTTAAATTGTTCTTAAATTTAGTGCTTGTAATAAGTTGATGTATCTATTTTTTAAGTTTCAAACTGATTAAATAAACAAAATCAAAATTGACTTTAAGTTAAAACGAACTGAAATAATATTATAAGACATTGTTTTTAGTTAAATTTAATTGTTTCCAATTACTACATTTTTACGTTTTTTTTTTTTTTTGTGTTTCCAAAGATGGAGCTAATGGTAACTTTTATTTATTCAAATATTTTAGTTTTACAAGCCATACAAATGTGTTTTGTATTGTTTAGAGCAATCGTAATGAATTAAACTATTAAAAAAAATCAAAATTTGTTTTTTATTAATATATAACTTTTAATGATAATCATGAACATATTGTCTAGTTGATCGATGGTGTTAAAATGACAAATAGTAAATTACTATAAAACCAATTACCTCTTTTACCTCTTTAAAAAACTAACGCTGGTAGGAAAGCATGTATGACAAACAATGCTCGAAAATGATGAATTTACCTTTGAGAACAATTAAAATATAATATGTAGAACTTAGGAATTTAACATATAAAAGTAGAGTACATAAAGTTATATAATTAAGCAATCGAAATATTTTAACAAACGAAAAATAACAAAGCTATGTTTGAAAAATGAATAATAAATAAACAATAAATGTAATATTTATCATAATACCAGAACCTTAAAAAGTTCTTTGAACTTGTACATAAAAAAGCCTAAATTTAAGACTATGACAAAGTTGTATAATTTTCTTTGTTAATTCAAAAGTGTATGGTATAAAAAGTTCCTCTGATTAATTACAAGAAAATAGTGACACTGATATACATTACGTAGTAAGCAATAAATTTCGACACTTACACAACTTTAGTTTATATATTAACTAATAACGGTGTATTTTTTTTTATTGTTAAATTAATACCGCTTTTATAAGTCAACAATTTACTATTGTCTTGCTTGATTAATTTTATTCCTAAAAGTTGTATAGACACTGCAGTACGCTTCATGTTGTTTAAGTACCAAACTTAAAACTAAATATTATATCTTTTACGTTTTAATTATTAAAAATATTTTGGAGCATTACTACATTTTTACTCTACTTCATTTTTTTTTAATTATTTCATATGATAATCAATTGAACGAAATGTAATTAATTCCACATAATCATTAATGGTATAAGTAAAATAAAATAAGTTCATAGAGTATAGAAATATGCTAGGTATTTATTTAAAAAGAAAGTCCACTATTTTATATAAAGATGATGTAAAAAATTAAAAACCAACGTGCAATATATTAATTTTCGGGTAATACTATATTGAATATAAAGAACTGCATATCTCTCAGTGTGTAGTAAATAAGTGTTGCTCACTTATAACTTTTAAAGGTTTTCAAATGGATAAAAAGTCACATTTTTACGACAGCAGTTTATGCATACATATGTACATAAGTATGTATGTATTTCTAGCAATACAGCTAAACGGGTCGTAACTCAGAAACATTTCTAGTCAAATTTATAAATAGTTATTGATTTAATTGTATGTGTGTATGTATGAATTAAGAAGAAAAAAATTCAATGCACTCAATAATTCCATTGATAATTTTAAATAAGGAAATCACATATTTAGAGGCATAAAATAGCAAAATAACATACATACATATATTTAGGTATGTATATAGTACATATTTACTTATGCATAAACATACTACAGTGTAATAATTACCAAAGCAGAATAAATATACAAAGCTCATAAAAATATAAACAAATTAGTAAGTGTCAAAAATTTGTAAAAAGTTTGTATTTAATATATGTGTATAACAATTTTGTAATACAAAAATCATGAAAACATTTCCCCGCGAAAAATATATAAGTATTTGTCGACACTCACACACTCCCAGTTTATAGTGACAATGTAGCACGTTTTTTAACGAATTTACATATTCTTAATTATGAAGAAACAGCCCTTTCGCATTGTACAAGTACAATATACCACCACCAGCTTTTAATTCAGGTTATTGCGATGCGTACTTGCGCTCCCCATAACGTGAGGATATTTTGTCCTTTTCTCTTAGAATATATTTTAATGCTGCTCTAACTGTACGGTCCTCTTTCATTCGCGTTGTCTCGGAACCATTAACTTGAGTTGTCTGCCATGTTGGTTGCGCTCCTCCGTCTGATTCTGCGTTGCTATTCGTTTTTTATCATTTTTATTTTACGTATGAACGTAAATACATGTGTATGTGCAACTGTATTGTTATTTTTTAAGAGAGCAACTCAATTATAAGTTCAACGAGTTTAATTCGGTTATGTTAACAATCTTAATTTAATATGCCTACACATATACTATCTCTCCATTTGAATCGGACTGCTGAAAACAAAATTTTCATGGTTTCAATAAAATCGCAATTGTCGCATACAATTTTTCCCATCTTAAATATATTTCTTTCTTGGTTCCTAAATTAGATAATTAAGTTTTAGCAAAACAATCTATAACAGATTTTGAGAGCCTATTTCATTACCCAACTTTTTCGATGTTATTGTCCAAAGAGCTAGATCGACAACTCACAAGAGACTACGTTTTTTTTATGAGAACAATTAAATATATATTTTTTAAACAAAACTATAATACCTCTAAGTGAGCATAATAAGATATTATTTGGTCTGATTAAATTTTAGTTAAACATTTTGAAATTGTTACGATAATTTTGGGACTTTTTGTTTATTTTGGTCTATGCTGAAAAAATTGCTAATAAATATTAATTTAAAACTAAATAGTCAAACTTGTAAAACAAAGTCATGTATATTTATCCGGCCACCAGTGTATGCATTTAAAATTAATTTATATATGTATGTATGTACGTATACACAAAATTCCATTCAGCTCCCTTATTTATCGCTATACTGTCTTTACAGCGAGAAGTACAGCAAACATAAATTAATACTATGCAATTTTTTATTCTTTTCGAAACTCCATCGCTACTTTTGGGGCAATGCGAGTACTACTAAATTTCTTTGAAAGCTATGTACGATTTGCTTGTCTTTGACTCCTGCTGCCTCCAAATACAGCATATTTGATTATCTCAAAAGAGGTGGAGTAAGCCTAAAATGCATGTTGGAGTGGGACGAATGTCACGAAAAGAACCAAAAAGTGGAAATGATGAAAATTATAAAACCGAGTTGGAGAAACGTAATAATGAAAAAATGTTCTTCATTATATTTTCGTACTTTTACTCCTTTCGTAATTTATGCAGAACGGCGTAAAAAGAAATTTCAGCTCATTCTCTCTGGAACGTCGGCGAACATTTTATCGGCCGTACAACGAGAAACTAAACAAAAGTGAAGGGAAAACGGTTTAGGCAGAAAAATACTCATTTGGTTGATTCGCGTTTGGAGCGCACCCCGCTTTCATCTTTCAGTGGCTCATTTGCATACGCTTAAAATTTCTTACTACAGATGCTGATATGAAAGGTGGTGAACAAACTTGCTATGTGGCAGTAAAACAAGGCAAGCGGTATGCAATATGCGTTAATAGTGACTTAACGCGAAATATTAGCTCATTTGTTTCATTTTTTTTTTCAACTGTCAAAAAAATTAAAAACAAAAAATTGTACACCTGTGACCACTTTTGAGCAAAGAAAAAACTTTTGAAAGAAAATATACAAGTAAGACTCAAAGGAAAATGCGAGCATAAGGAAGTAAGTATTATTTTAATCATAGAATCCGATGCTCTAGTTTATATAACACCGTATATATTTTATTTTCTAATTGGAGCTTTAATCGTTTACTTGTTTCTTTGTAAACTCTTTTCAAAAAATCAAATTTATCACAATGACAAATACCTTATTCGAATACATGAACGGAAAAAAATATTAAGGATGTTGGGTTTATTCTGCAAAATTAGTTTAACTTATTTAAGCTTAAATTTCGATTGAAGAAACAAACAATCAAAGAAAATCATTTATTAATTTTTTTTACTATAATATGTGCAAATTGTTTCCATAAAGTAGTGGGCCATAAGAAAAAAATCGACAATCAACATTTTAGTGTGGATTGTGCTCATGAGAAGAATATAATATATGTATAACACACATTTTCTGGTACATATTTCGTTAACGAATCGCAAAACGTTCTGGACTTGTCGGTATTTTTAAAGTAACGGTTAAACGTTTGCCAGCCACTAATTTATAACCGACTTTTCCCTTCTCTTGCAAATTACACTAAGAATACAATTAAATTGGAGAAATGCAAAACGAAAATGCTGATGCTGAAATCTCTAACAGAACAAACTGTGTTAACATCAAAGTTTCAAACAACCCCTTTTTAAAAACTAAATTTATAAATTTATAACCGACTTTTCCCTTCTCTTGAAAAATACACTAAGAATACAAATAAATTGGAAAAATTAAACAAAACGAAAGTGCTGATACTGAAATCTCTAACAGCACAAACTGTTTTGAAATCAAAGTTTAAAACAAAGGTGTTGTTAAAAAGTAAACTTTCAAAGATATCTATTGAAAAATATAGAGTTGTATGACCCAAGCAGTTCACCAATGTAAAAAGGTGTATCAGTCATATACTTATGTATAATAAACTTATATGTATGTGTACATAAAAGTTAAATATTATATTAACTATATCACTTCTCTACGCATCCCTAATAAGATGGATCCTACACTCTGACCGTCTCCAATCACATCTAGCAACCTTAGTATTACCCTATGAATTATGTGCTCCGGCATTGAAGCTGTCAAAAAAAAGAAAGTAAATGAAATATTATACTGTACACGCTAAATTCACTTAATTAAACATAGAACCACATCCAATCAAAAGTATATGTTAGAATAGGCTTTATGTTATATTGTATTATTATATTATCATACATACACATACTTGCATGT